ATCAAAGAGATCCATGCATAACCACCAGGGAGCAATCGCTTCAGAACATACCTTGAAATAAAAACTGAAATAATAGAATGAATAAATTTGCTTGAATTAATCAGGAAATACATAGAGACAACAAGGCACTTATTAATGCAAGAAGCAAACACCAAAATCAATGAAGATGCATTCACAGTGTTGAATCAAGGAGAACACAAATTGTCATTCAAGAATAACACTATAACCAAGGCATGATAGTGCCTGTCTGCAGTTGCAGTACTCTGGGAAACTGAGGCAGGAGGATCACAAGGCCAGACCTAGCTTGACCAAGTGAGAAACTTAGTGAAATCTTGTCTCAAAATAAAATAAAAAGGAGATGGAATTACAGCTCAGTGTGAAGGCCCCAGGACTTATAAATAAGTAATTAATTACAGAATTAACTGTAAATCCTGACTCCTTTCTATGTAAAAAAAATAAAAATAAAAAAGCAAAAATCTTGTATTTCACTTTTAGAGAATAAATATTTTAAAAGTAAAAATAAATGTTCTAGATATAAATCCACAAGAGAGTAGTGAGTTGTGCATACTTTCATAAAGGCAATTGAATTTTCAAATTGGGTTTTAAAGATCAAATTAGTTAGCCCTTGTAATTATAATGAAATAGATAACAAAGAAAATCAAGCAGCTGTGCTACACAACTATACACACAAAGAGAAATACACAGGTACATTACTCATTTAAAAGAGTAAAAGAAAGTGGACAGCTACAGCTAAAATAATCTCTTCAATTAGAAAAATCATTAAATCGTATTTCAAAGTAATAATAAATGCTGAAGAAAAAATATGGTGACATGGCAAGGAAACCAGAGTTACTGAGAGACCGTTGGTATTAGTCTTCTCAAAAAATTTACCGCTCACAACCACAAATCCTGGAAGAGAGAGGAAACTGCACTCACATTGCAATGAGCAAGAGTGCATAGGTTATTCACTGGGAATTTCTAGGTTAGGAAACTGTAAAAATCAAACCAAGAGCGAGAAATCAAGTGATGCAATCGCATGAGAGGGAACCCGAAGCAATATCCTCAACCAGAAGTACCTCATTTTCTTTCTGCTTGAGCCAGGAAAAATATTTTCACTGGCCCAGTCAGGCTCATAAAACATTCCGTGCCACCACAGCCTAGAAACATGGGCGTTATCCAACACTGGAAGTTCACAAGGGCCAGGACTTTGGGGGCTCATCCTCTGCTCCCAGGCAGAATGGGATATTCACTGGCACATAACGCTGTATTCCATCCAGCATTCATTATGATGGGTCAAGTGTCCATGCCTTAGCTTTGCTGAATATTTTTAATGATGTTCTGTGTCCTTGAAAAAAATCAACCCAGCCCTACCCAGGTAGGTATTCATTTCTCTCTTTAAAATTCTTTGCAGATGACTGGGTGTTGTTTAGTAGGATGGATTTCATTCTTTAAAAGAAAAACGAAGGGAAGATCATAGCCTCTGAGTTGGTGGATCAAATATAAGGAAGTCTCTGAAACATACTATTGAGACCCAAGAGGAGACTGACAAGGTCAGCATTTATACAGGAGTGGAAGGAAAGAAGCCACTGGGATCAGGTAAAACAAGGGGTGGGGAAAGGCCCCTCAGCCTGTGCCCCTGTGAAACCACGGAGTGTTTATAAACTGGGTTCTGGAGGTTGAGGCACCTGGATTCCCATGTCAGCTCCACACCGGTATTCGTAGGGAAGATGAAGATGAAGAGTGTTTCCACTGAGAGGAACAGGACACAGAAGGGTAGAGAAACAAGAGTGACTGGTCATGGTTCATCCAGGAAGCATCACGGAGCTCACCAAGGCTGGGGCACAGCAGGAGGAAAGGCCAAGCCCAGAGGATGAGGAGTGGCAATGGGAAAAGATATGGGGATGGAAGGGCCACTTTTGACATACCTACAACTATAGCCTACAAGAAAGATGATACAGAGGACATGGGCTAATTGCTGATTTACATTTTAGGGAGGTAGAAGGCGAAAGGCAGAACATACTAGAGACAAGGAGAAGCGGCACTTACCTGGAAGAAGGAAAGTAGTCTGAGATTGCAGAGCAGCAGAGCCCGCCCCCTTCCTAATGTGCCCCTCCCACGTCCCCAAGGGATCCTACAAATCACTCTCCCCAGATTTTGCACTCAGAACTACTTTAGATTTCATTTCTGAGCTTCGCCTTTCAAAGATGTAGAACATGCAGCTAACCCCTTTCAGCAGGCCACAGCTGGACTCGCTCACAAAGAAACTGAGCTTCATACTTCACTCTTGGATAATTCTTTTTTCTTTTCCGACCAACTCCTGTGTTTCCTTTTCATAATAAAACTGTTATCTCTCCAAACCACTAAATGTTCAGTGTGAAACACTGTTTTTATGATGCATTTCATTTATCTTCATTTGAAAAGGACAATAAACAGCAAGTGTGGTCTGTAAACCACCTATCCATATCAAAGTCAGAGAGTAATTTCTTGTGGAACCATACCAAAGGGCAGATAATACAGATAAGTGACATTATCTAATACTTCTCTGTTACTATCTGAAACTCTTCCCTTTCATTAAAACAACCTTTTGGTAGAACTACCTGTGTAAACATGTTTTGTGGGTTGTAACGTGGAAAGTACCAGAAACAGCACACAAGACTGTGTTTCTGACCAACTATAATCACACAGAGATGAGCCATCTCCTCTCCTTCCCTTTGGAATACAATGTTTAGAGTGCACAAAATTCCCCTTTGTATTTTGAAGTGGATTTTTCATTTACCTTGAGTGCCAACTAAGAAACACAAGACATGAAATCAGACCATCTAGGCAAGTCTCTAAGCCTCTATGATCTTGAAAGAGTTAGGAATAATTTTATTTTTCTCTCACCTAAATAATCTGATTTTGGAAATGTCCCATATATCAGATAATAAATTACTACAGCTAGGCATTAAACACTTGAAATAAGAGTAATTTATTAGAGTTAATTTTAATTAATTAAAGCATAAAATATATATGTAGCTAATGATTATCTTGCTTAGAATTACAGCTTCAAAATTCTGTTTCAGTAATTCCTACTCTAACTTTGTTCTAGAAATCCATAATTAACATACAGTGCTTATATAGGAATATGTCCTTTTTATGTGGGAAAAGACAGGTACATAAACATCTTAAACACAATTGACAAAATGAAACATAGTATATATTATTTTTGTCCACTACTTTAAAAAAAAGTATTCAGTGGGGCGGTTTCTTCATGGTACATGTGGTCCACAGCTGTGTTCACCTTTATATATCTACCTTAAATAAATCTTCCTCTCCCATATCTCTACCAACAGAACTTTGCTTTTATTCATGGTTTCACAATCTTCAGATTCTTTTCGGATTAGTGTCTGGAAGCCCTCTTAAATTCCATCGCCACAGCGTGTACCTATGGCCAGGGCACCTGCCCTGTTTAATTACTTTATCTCCTTTCTAAAATCCTGTTCTTTTCCACTGCAATCATCTCCCACTTTTTGTCTCTTCCTTTCTAAAGACATCCCACCCAACGCCCTGCAAGCCATCTTCCTCAAACGCAGGTATAAACATGGCTTTCTGGGGTTTGTTACTGCTCCTCACGAGAAGCTGCTCTGGACAAGGCTTCCAGTGAAAGTTTTCAAAGGGCACCTACCTTTCCTTTTTCTTGGGGCTCTCAGCGGCATTGGACACTGTCAACTTTGACCTTCTTGAAAGTGTCTTCTCCTTTGTGTTCACGCCTTCTGGATGCATTGGACTCTCTGTTTTTCAGACCACTCTCCCTGCTTCTTTTCTGATTACAGGTCAGTGCTATTCTATCACAGGGTATCACCCTGAGCCTACACTCTTCTCATGCTGGGCTTCTTAATACTCCTGAAAGAGCATCCACATTCATGATGCCAGCAGTACCTCGACACTTCTGATTCCCTGTCTATCTCTAACCCATTTGCGTTCCTGACTCCAAGACCTGCCCAATAGCTTAAGCAACTTCTTTGTGCGGATGACCACAGGCATATCAGAGTCCACCAGCTTCAACTCACTGTACCCATCCATCCTTCCTAGCCTGATTTTCCTGTTTTCCTCATCTAAAGGAACAGAGATAGCAGCACCCACCCAGGGAGATACACACTTAAAGTGAGAGAGTGAGGTCACCCACCACCAGCATTACTGTCTTCCTGACACATTCCATGGTCTGCAGTACACTAGTTTCTGCTCATTCCATTCCTACCTAGTACGGGTCCTCTTTTTCCCACCTAGATTTTTGTAGTAAATGGTACCAGGTCCATTGTCGGCAATCTTTCCTATTTTAGGATGATCTTCCTGAAATGCAAGTTTTATCAATTCAATCTATATGAAGAACTCTTTAAAATTTTTCCTTCCATTATATAGTATGATTGAGAATTTCTGTGAGTATCATGACCTATAGTCTAGAAATTTTTCTTTAAAGAAAATTAGTTATGTCCTGTGAAGTTTGAACAGCACCAAGTACCACAGTGCTAGCCATAATACCAACCAACGGTGAAAATTTTTTCATTAATAGAGAATTAACAAAAATTTAATTTAACATACAAATGAGTAATCTAAAATTTTGCTATAGAATAATGTATAACTGACATAAAATGTGTAATATGTGGTTGAATATGTTCATGTAATATTTCTGGCCCATTATTCACTCTGAATATGTGTTTGGCATTAAAAGGCTAGTAGACACAAAACTTAAAAGCTGTGTGTCCTTGGTAAGTATGATTATGGTTCTTAAATTTTCTACAGTGAACGTGGAACTCCTTTAGCATCAGGAAAAGAAAGAGGCATTATTTTACTAAAGATTAAATTCAGTTTCATCTCCCACTGATTCCTCATGATAGTTTCCCAGTCCGCATTAAGCACCTCTACCTGTCTTGTGCAGAGCTCTGCCTCAGTCCTTGACTTACATTATAAGTTTTAGGCAGAATAAGTGTTTACTAAATAAATAAATGACTGACCCCACTCACCTCACAATAATCGACATCCATGTCTCATTTCCTTCAGACGATGAGGTGCCCACTCTTTTGGCCTGTGCTTGAAAAATCCTTCATAGTTACCGCCTTCATATCCTGGCTCTTATCTCCATGCATGTCCGTCTATGGGGAGGATGGTGTCTTTCCTACGACTGTATCTCAAATACTACAACTCCTATGAAACAGAGGTTCAGAAATAAACTGATGAATTAGCGACTGGGTAAATCAATCAGCTTTTTCAAATATACCCTGTCCTTTGCACTTCTCCATATTTTGTACAGCTATTCCCTCCAACTTTTTTTTTTTTTTTCTTTTTCATTTTTATCGGTACCGGGGATCGAACTCACGACTGCCTGCTTGCAAAGCAGGTGCTTATGCCGCTGAGCTAAATCCTCAGCCCCTCCCTCCAACTTTTGACTCCTTAATTCCCTTTCTCATGCTTCTAAGTTTCCGTAAAATTTGGGCACTATAAAAACTGTCTTCCTAGGCAAAATTAAGACCTCTTCATTACAAATATCGCAATTCTCTGACTCCTCCCATTATTGGAGTGTGCCCTTTTGATGTTATTTAAATGTTAATCATATTCTAAAAGCTTTTCTGTTTTTAAGAACTATAATGTTGATTGTCTCTTTTCCCAGTTTCTTCCTATCTAGTCTTTCTTACTTCTTCCCACTCTTGGAGAGAAAGCCAGACCCTGGGAGGAGAGGTCAGCAGGCCTTTCCCTAACCTTCTAACTCCTCGGAACCCAAAGACACCTTTCTTGATCTTTCCTCCCCTAGATCCCTGAGTAGGGCAGGAAGAAATGCAGCAGTGTCTCTTTTTCTCAGGCACACCATGCTTGCTGGGTCCTCCAAGTGTTGGCCATCTTTGGTGACAAGTCAAAATTCCTGTCCCATTTGGGGAACAATGAAGTTTCCCTTTCCTGTAAAGGTCTGTTCCTATCCCTGTGTCAAACTGCCTGAGATGCAAAGCAATTTATCCCCTCCCTCACAAGAAGTATCTCCCCTTTCTTTGCCTTAATCTTACCACAGATCTCTCAAGCTATCAAGCTTAAAAACTCAAGACCATCTTGGTTGTCTTTACCTTTATTACTTTGCAATGTTCTTTTTTACTGAATGACACCATTCCTCTTTCCTGTCTCCTTGGAGTTCCTAGCAACCCTCATTTATTCATGATCACATTCTAGACATGTTTCCAAAGGGCTCTCCTTGCCCTCATGTCCCCTGTGCTCCAAGGTCCTCATGTGCTGCTCACAGATGCACTTACTAGAGCAGGCAAGGCTTTGATCTTATCAGTCCCTGGACAGGACACTTTCTAGGCCCCTGCTGTTTAGAAGCTATAGTTCACACCCTTCTGAAGATCCCATGGTGATCTTCATTCCAGTGTCATCACCAAAATCCCTGACTGTCTTCCACAGGACAGAGTCCCTCCTTCCTTTCTAGCTATCTGCTGTACAATGACAGTTCATTGAATTTCTCTTTGTAATTTTCCTGCTCGACATTCCTCCTATTTCATTATTTCCTAAAGTCAGATCTTTAGGAATCTTGTCATGGTTTTTTCCTTGTCAATTACCATGTAAACTAATTTTTACTTAATAATTTTCTCTGTTAATCAACATTGAATTCAAAGTTCTCCTAAACAGTTTACAAGAATTGATTATATTATGTGTGATGAAATGAACAGCTGCTTTGAAGTCTGTGCTTTCTTTCTTTCTTTTTTTTTGACCAGGGATTGAACTCATGACCTCGCGCTTGCCAGGTAGGTGCTTATGCCACTGAGCTAAATCTCCAGCCACATAAACAGCTACTCTGAACAAAAAGAGACATTATAGTATCCATTAATGATCCTGTTATCATCATGCTGTGAAATCCAGTAATGTTTTTATCCTTCATTCAGAGTGGCTGTTAATTTCAGAAGGCATGGACAGCTATTTTGAAGACAACAAGAGACATTATGGTAGCCATTGTTGATTTTCCTATTGTCTAGTTTGGAAGACCTGTAATGCCTTCATTACTCTGTTCTGATCAGTTTTATACTATTTTGTTTTGTATGAATTCATTGTGTGTGAAGATATAGATAACTATTTAGAAGAAAATAAGAGACATTATGGTAAAAACAAACAGTTCAGCTTAGGTAAGTATTTCAAAAGTTAATTTCTGTCATCATAAATGAAAACACTAACTCTTGCAATAAGTAGACAATGCCATTTTTAACAGTTACTAAACTAAATACTTTTTCCTACTAACACCTTTGCTTACTCTGCTGTTATAAAAGAGGCTTAAACAAGTATTAAAAGAATTTTCAAATTATATCAATAAAATTTAGCCTCAAAAGATGAATGTACATTGAAAAATTTAATAACTCTTCAGTTGCCATCCATGTTATTGCTTCTCTAATCTATATGTTGCCTAAAATCATTTCATGCACACAAAATTTATAAAATGTATATGAGATATTCTCTTCCCCATTTTCTGCTGGTCTCCAGTCTGCACATCCTTCCAGTCCTGGTCAGTCCCCCCACTTCCCAGTGTCCACAGTTCACTGAGAATGAGTCCTGGGCCAGCACCTCTGCCTTATTTGCTTTTGAATGACTCATGCCCAAGTTTGTTTTTTTCTGTTCTCTAGTGACACTGGTTCAGAGACAGACTTATAGAGGATCTTTCAAAGCCTCTGATACTGAGCATCACACTTTCTACCGAGTGAGATTTAGGAAAATGACTCCAGGAAGAGCCTGAGTGACTGATGGGTTAGCACTTTCTCCCACTATTGAGGAACACACATTTCCAGGAGTAGATAAGGATCCCCCCAACAGTTGTATCTGAGTCATCCCTTTAACTTTCAGGCTCACGCCAGTGGGAGAACATTATAGAATTGCTAGAAATCCTGGCCAAACAGATAAATGATCTTTCCTACAGAAAGCACACTGCAGATGACATTCAAAGCAAATCAAAGCTGCCTTGTTTGGAAGGGTGCACTGATGTTCAATGTTGCTCCTGCTATTTCCCCCACCTTTGTTTTCAATCTGGTGCCGTCCTGCACTTGCCAAGATAGCTGTGGAAAGACCTCACGCTTTTCGCATGCAAAGCATATCACATACAAAGCTTTACATGCTTAGCACCAACTGGTAGCTGTCACCCTCAGTCATCACCAAACGTCATTCAAGTGCTTAGTCTTCAGACAGCTGGACACACGTGTGCTCTCTTGAGAAAGGATTTGCTAAATATTCAACAAGCTTATATCTTCTGTCCTCCAACTTAGCTCATGCATTTTAACATGAGATGACTTTTAACAGACTGTTTTAACAGCCTTCGTTGTCTCTAAAACACAGAGTAATCATTTTATAGGTTAGTCACAGATAAAGTGAGAAAACTGGCATAGATAATGTTATGGATTAAGAACTGGTGGTCAACTTAACGCCAGCTGGATTACCTCAGCATGACATTGAGCGAAGATGCTCCACCTGAGGAAAGTTGCCAGGATAAACAGGTGGAGAAGAAGGGAGGTGTTGAGGCATTAAGGAGGCATTGTGGGTTCTCCTACAAGTTGCTGTCTGAGCTGTTGGTTCTCCTGGAGAAGCTTTGGTCCTCACATTGAGCATTGCTTCCTGGCTTCGGAGGAGAAGACATGTGCTGCTTGGTCTCCAGGATGAACTTGTCACCCTGCTTCCTGGCACGTACCTGACTGTGCTGTCATCAGAGGAGCTCAGGGCCTCCATGTCACTGAGGATGGCTGTGGTGCCTTTCAGGATAGCCCTAGTCTTTGTTGTGAGTGTGACTTCTCGGCTCCAGCATAGAACCCTCATCCCACTAGCACAGCTCCTTCATCCTCCTGGCATAGACTTTCTGGCTTCCACCGCTGACACTTGGGTCTTCCCGGCACAGATTCGTAAAAGAGACTGGCGTGAGTCCTTCTTGTGGGCTCTGGACCTCCAGTTGGACTCATGGAGGCGTTGTCCTGAGCTCTAGATTTTTATCTGGACTCATGTGGGACATTGCCGTGGGATTTAGGCTCTGGACTAAACAATCTATGTCTTTGGTGTTGCAAATAGATTTCCTGCATTTTCCTGTGTTAACTTCCGGTGACCATTATAAAAATATTATAAACTCCATGTCCTAATCCTAATTGTTCTCTGTGTACAACCCCTAACTACAACAGATAATATAATTGCCTTTAGTTTTATAAATGAGCTTTAACTAAACCTCTCATCAAAACTGTAACTAATAATTATGGCTGCATAATTCCTAGATTCTGTATATTGCCAAAAAATCATTTTAAGAAACACTCTTATGAGTTAAAGATAATCATGTAATTACGAGGACATGAAACAATCACCATTAAAGTCAAGACAAATTTAAGAATATACATGAAATGCATCATCATCACCTAAAAACTATTGTCATGTAAAACTCTAGTATTAACATAAGTGATTCACAATCAATCTAAAATTAAACCACTGAATGTAGATTTAGTTGTTTTTCAGGAAACAGGGACTTTAATAAATGGTGAGGCTTCTGAATTTCTGCTACATATACTTTTAGTATTTAACATGGTATCACTATCTTAACCACTTATAAGTGTGATGCCCCAATATTGTTGGATAGGTTTAATTATTGTCAACAGTCTCTAGAATATTTTCATCTTGCAAAACTAAAACCCTCTATTCATAAAACAATCCTCAGTTCCTTCTCCTCTGTGTCTCCTGTGGCAACCTGCTTTCCATTTCCATAAAACTTTGAGTAATATAGATGTTTCATGTAAGTAGAATCAACAGTATTTGACTGTTTGATCTGTTTTTGAAGCATAATTGAAACATAATTAAAATGCAGCCAACCTCCCATCAGTCACTAACCATCTGTTTAGTACAGTGCAGTCTGCTTATTTAACTCTATTAAATCAGTGAGACAGCTTTTATTCATTTTACAGGTCAGGAAAATGAGCAAAATGTAACAAAGTGAAACATTTTGCTACAGGTTAGGTATGTATAAGTGTAGGGCCAACCCATCGCTATCTGACTGCAAATGTCAGTCTTTGTCACTCATCTGGATGTGTTTTGTAATACTTAAAAGTTTCAGAGAATTTCAACCATCTACCTATATAACACAGTCCCTCTTCTTTCATACGACACTTTCATGACATAACTATTTCTGCTTTTTAAGTAAACTGCTTTATTCTAAACTGTATCTCCATGTACTGTTCTAAGCCATGTCTCATAAACACAAAATACCAGTTACCTTCCTTTTTATCCAAGCAGGACTTGGGAAGGAAGAAGCTACTTGCTCAGTTTTCCTGGAGATTATCTGACTTCCCAGCATGTAGTACGTTTCTGTAGGGAAAGGAGTATTAAACTTTAAAAAGTGGCACTTACATGTGTGGAAGTGAGCCCCAGCTTCTTCAGTTCAGTCAGTGTTTTAGTGAATGGAAGTCACTGCCCACGCCAAACGTGCCAGTCTGGCTCTGGGCAGTGAGCCCTGCTTCCGGAGCCACCTAAGACTACCAGTGTGATACCAGGGCTGCCCAACCAGAAACCCTGGAAAGCAGGAGAACTACAACACCCACAATGCAAGCTCCTTACCGGAAACCAAGAGACCAAGGCAATGGCTAAAGTTTCACTCTAGGCAGAAAGCAAAAATTGTTGGAAAAGTAACAGAAAAATAAATCAGAAACAGTACATATGGTCCTATTTCCACAAAAGGAAATTAAAGTGGTTTGATGTTTGCCAGTGAGTAAGGAGACTCCTGTAGTGCTGGCAGGAACAGAAAAAGTCTTCAAGCAAACAAATCCGCTGCAGCCTTGGAACCGGCCTGGCCAGATTCCCTTTCGATGATTCATTCTGAGGTGAGGCTGTGTCAAGCAGGTGACTGAGGAGTGCTAGGCCTGACAGTCTGTTCCTCCTGCTCAGCACTGTGATCTGGCTCAGAGATCCACTGATACACTGGGGACCTTTGGCCCCGTCATCTTCCCAAATGCCCCTGAACTAAAACTGCACTTTAAAATTTTTCTTTTTTACAAATATGAACAAGAAGTCACCTTTCTTGAGAAGTTCTTTCACTTTCCAATTCTGAAGTGTATGTTTTCCTTCTACATGCCCACTACTGTTTCCAGTTATTTAGAATTCAAGAAAGAACACCGAGGTGAAAAAATTGTAAATCTTAGAAAAATGAAAGATACAATTGCAGTATCAGCCAAGGAGAATAAAATGAAGAAAGCAGAAAGTTAGAACAGCAAAGACATGTGCCGTCCTTATTTGTGCTTTCAACCTCTCTCTCAGTCTTTATTTTCTGGTTAGATCCAACCAGAAGGTAGAAAAAAAGTAGATTTGGCTTAGTCTGGGCTCAAAAACATGATAGCAAGATTCATCTAAAATAAGTGAATGGCAGAAGGGTGATAAAGGGGCATTTTCTTTTTGATTTTCTGTGATCTCTTTCCTTGTGTTCTGCAGGTCTCTCTCTGCCTGCCTACAGGTCCGTCCTTAAGCTTGGTGCCCAAGACACCTCGTTCACCCAGAGTCCTACTGAAGTTTCCCGGAGTCATCCCACAGTCTCGCCTCATCCTTTCTAGTCCCTTTTGTCACAGGCCCCTAAAGTCCCAACAGGAACCTAATTTTTCTTAATGCTTCCTTCCCAAAAATGTATCTTAGTTTCTGAAGACCCTGCAGACTTTGTGTTCCCTGTTGTTCCCCCAAACCCTAGATTCCTCATTTTTGGTCTTGATACGTGTAGTTCTTTTCTTCCTCTCAGAGAATGGAAAGTCAGTCTTCTTCAAGAACCTCTCCCTAATCCAACTTCACTGGAATTACTCTTTCCTTCTTAAGAAATCCCATTACATCATACCTAGTCCTCTCATAACATTTTTCCTATCTTGTGTCATTGTTTTATGTAGATTTATCCGTATGTAGGTAGTCCTGGACTTCCATGTCTTTATCTCATTCCCCTCCATTAATTCAGTAATGTAGATAAATATTTTTCTGATAATCAAGGTGTGAAACAACTGCAATAGATTAACTCAATGAATTTTAATGCTTAATATCATCTCTGACTAAGACAGGAGATTTTTTGTACTGAATAACTATCCAAATCCAGAGAGAAATACTGTTACCACAATCCCCTATAGTCCAGTTTCATGTGGCTTCTACAAACTGTTTTCAGAAAGGCAATGTACTAAATATAGCACTTTAGCCACTGAGCATTCCTGAAATGAAGGCTCTAATAGATCACAACTCCACTCCATGCTGTGCACTTGGCCTTCTAGCAGTTTCTTAAGGGCTGGCCTCTCTGAAGTCTTCAGTCCCATAACTGCCCCTTTGAGACTGGCCCTCATTTTTATCTGTGATTTTTGATCATTAACTCCAGCATTTTGCACTTTCTTCCCCTAAAATCTAATGTCCTGGCTCTGAAGACTAATCTCTGTTCTTTAAATTTTTTAAATAGTTCATTCTCACTTGAGTAAATTACTTCTCACCCATCAACAGTTCCCCTCAGCTTTACTGCTGTGGGATTCTCCTGGTCTTCACATGCCTGCTGTGTCTAGCTGTCAGCCACTGTGGAGGAAGTGAGTGAGCTCCTGCTGACTCACAGCAAGAGTTCTCCTGACATCAGACATAAGAGCTGGTAGTGCAGATGATTGTTTGACTGGCCACCAAATTTCCTTTAATCGTGTCATATGGCAGTCGGCCCCTTCACCTGCCTCAGTGAACAAATTCTAAGCTATCTGGAGTTGGATCCATAGCTCACTCTCAACATACTGCTCAGGAGGACATTGTGAAAGAAATTTCTTCTTATCCCTTCACCCATTCCATGCTTCCGTTCTCATTTGTACTGACTTACACAGATGTCTGAGTGGGTTGATGTTTTGTGACTGTGACTCAAAAATATTTTCATTCTTTCACTGAAATGATGATCACTTGCAGCCACATAGTTTGCTGTACCTAAGGAAAAAAGTGGGATATGGTCATGTTATTCCCTAACTGATGGAGAATGAGTATGGAAAGCTTGCCCATTCTGTCTCAGAGTGTGGGAAGAAGAAAGCCAGAGGTTGAAACAATGTCAAGGGGGTTTCCATAGAAACGTACTGGGAGGCCCTAGAAAGTGGGATGTGTCTGTGAACAGAGCGTGGCTTGCAGATGGTATGGTTAGCCCAGCTGGGTGGGCTGGTTGAGGACTACTTAATCTCACATTCTTCAGTGTGGGAATCTGAAGGAGCCAAATGGACCAGGGAATCTTCGGAGATCAGGGTTTAGAACAAAGACAGTGCATTGCATTTTTGTGACTCAAGATAAATCATAAAAATCAGCCATCAATGGATATTATGCTGTACAGTGCTTCATAAAGGCTTCTATTCAGGAAGGAAAAATTGGTCTCTCATAGTAGATAATCATACAGAATACAAATGGTATCACATGGACATCAAGCCTTCTTTTTCCACACCATTTGCTCTTACTTTGATATTATCTGAAGGAGAAATTGCAGGAGGAACAGCAAGAATAGGAGGAAGAAAACCTCAAAGGTGGAGAATGAAAAAGGCGTGACTCAAAAGAATACTGAAGAATACTGACGCTAAAGAGACTGATAGCCACAACTGTAAGTTAAAAATCTACTCCTGTGCTCCATCCACATACAGCAGGGAAGCTGAAATTCTGGGCCTCACCCTGTCTGCCCTAGTAGATAAGAAAGATGCAGAGGACTTAGAATAGCTAATCAGACACAGCTATCTGGGACCTGGAAATAGATACCCATGACATAAAAAAGCAAGGACAGAGGAGAATTTCGTCTCATGATGAGAAAAGGCAGTTGTGAAACATTGCACGAACGTGGATGACGTGACTGTAGTGTTGTGGAGCACTGTGCCCAGAACTCAGCACTGGGTGTTCATGCAAACTGATTTCGAGGGCTTAACAGAAACAATGAACCTATCTATTCACATTGTTTGGGCTGCTGCTATGGCTTCTTAAAACATGCGCCCAGTTCTCCAATTTTCCCAGCAATTCTGTAACTGGAGTTTGGTGTGTCACTTTTCTGTTTCAACCAGCCAGTCATTTACTGCTGCTTGAGGATAAAAATTTTGATGTGAATATCTCATCACCGCCATATCAATCACCTTGTCTGTCTCCCCATATCTAGAATCTGGTGGCTCAAAGACAAGATCTCGTTCACCTCTAAATGATTCAAAACTTCACAGCGTTGGACTTAGTACTTACGTGTTGATCTAAAGTGAACTTATGAGTAAAATTAAGAAGACTTACTTAAAGTTCTTTCTAACTTAAAATTTCTTTGACCACCTGGAAGCTATCAAATTGCCTATTAACGTGTGTGTACTTTTTTTCACCTAATATTATGAGTGGTTCAGAATTTTTACTTTCTCCCTTTCTGCATCTAGGATGGGGTACAGCTAGAAATTTCCAACACCCAAGAGGAAAACCAAACACACAAAAATGGTTTTAATAGCTCGAGATGTTTCTTACTGTTACTTAACAATCAAAATGTATGTGTGTGTGCACTTCAGTGATCTATGTTAAATGTCATTTGTATTTGGTCTCTGCAGTGCAAATAAACCAGTGACAGGAAACAGCGCATTCCCATATGCTCAGATTTCTCTCAGTTGGTTGTCTTGGAAAGAGAAAGGCCACACTGCAAGTGTAGAAGAAATTTCCTCTTGGAGTTTTTCCTTCATCCTGTTTCATTATTTTGGACTTTCAGACTCTGGTTGGCTGTGATTTCTATTTCTGGGTCACCTTGTCCCTGAGTCATGATCACACTGTAACTTTCCAAAACACAGTTAACAGCAGTGAACCTACAAGTTAATTTCTGTGAATAGCTCAAATCATTGTAAAAGTTTAAGACCAGAGCTAATTTAGGTCAGATTGGTCTTATTTCCCTACATTAAGAAAATGACTCAAGCAGTTTCTACAATTTCATATTTTCCTTCATTATGTCTTTCAGATCCTTGCTCAACTGTAAGATGAATCATACATAAATTGACCCCTACCAAGCAGCAGTTTAGAAGTTCATCCCTGTTTATTTTCATCTGTTGCTTTTAGGATAACACTCAACGAAATATGGACCAACTCTTCACAAGCTCTTATTTCAATGCTGTCCTTCTGTGTCTAATCAACAACAGAGAGCCATCTTTGCCATGTCCCTGGAATGGCACTGCATTGCTTGTCATATATTTTTGATCTTCAGGGTCTTCTGTTGAATCTTCTGTGTTTTTATAGGTATAATTGCTATTTCAGGCAAGACCACTCTTTGGAGAAAGTCTTCTGAAGTCTTTACATTGATGTCCCTGGAGCCTATATGAGTTTCCAGAGTTTCCAAAGTGTATTTTTCTTAGTTAATCCCTAATGAGATACAAAAGTTTGCATCTCTCAAGGTAGTGATTTATGCATTCTATTAACAAATGAGTGCATGTGCTTTGTGTACAACATATCCACTACCTCACGCACTTAGGAGAGGAAAAGAGTTCACTCTAAAGCCTTTGGTGTACTACATTTTGAGAGTGGAAGGTTAACTTC